AAAATATCTCAAATAAATAATACCAAAATATATATATATATATATATATATATATATATATATATATATATATATTCATATTATACATCATACATTATTCATATGACATATAGCATATTATAGATGATAAAAAAATACATAGTTCATATGAAATGTGGCATAATTTATCACAAATATATTCTGCTACATTTTGCATACATTTATGTACATCTGTGTAAACATTACTTTAACATTTTGTTACTGACGCCAAAAATAATAACGAACTGAATGTCTAAATGATTTTTTTAAATACAATTTACGAACATAATTTATCACAATATTTAACACGGAGAGTATGATGGTTTCCTATTTTGACCTTATTAACTTGTGTAAAGCTTAAAATGTAGGAAGTCTTAAATAAATAGTAACATAACATAAATAAATAATAATAAAAATAATTTTCCCTTCTTCCAGACCGTCTGCGTCGCGAGGAGAAGCAGCGACAGGAGCTGGAGAAAAACCGCAGGAAGCTGGAGGGCGACTCTACAGAGCTGCACGATCAGATCGCAGAGCTGCAGGCTCAGATCGCTGAACTGCGCGCGCAACTCGCCAAGAAGGAGGAGGAGCTTCAAGAGGCGCTGTCCAGGTGAGACGCACACCGCACAATCACAATCCGCTGATCCGTCTGAATGAAGGATTCCAGCTCATGAGTGACGGTGTTTCATCAGGATCGAGGAGGAAGCGGCTCAGAAGAATCTGGCGCAGAAGAAGATCCGTGAGCTGGAGGCTCAGCTGAGTGAACTTCAGGAGGATCTGGAGCTGGAGCGAGTGGCTCGAACCAAAGCTGAGAAACACCGCCGAGACCTGGGAGAAGAGCTGGAGGCGCTGAAGACTGAGCTGGAGGACACGCTTGACTCCACCGCCGCGCAGCAGGAGCTCAGGTGTGTCGCTTATAACGCACGTTTGCCGTCAGATTTATTTCATTTTCACGTCTGCATAATTTCCAACATTTTTATGGCCTGACGTTTTCAACGTTTCACAGGTTTGTAATGAGAAGTTCTTATAAAGCTGAAATATAAAGGTCTCCCTGCAGTCAAAATAAAAAGTGTTAGTGTTTCTTACAATTAAAGACTAGAATAATAACAACATTAATATTATTGTTTTTCATTTTATTAGATATTTATTTTCTTCAAAAGTACAATTGCATTACATTTCCTCATTTCCATGTTAAAAATATAATAGTACATTTTTATTTATTTTAATATGTTATTTTTGTCTTTGTTTTATTTTATTCGATATTCTTTTTTTATTTAACGGTACAATTGCATTGCAGTTTTTCTTTTATAGTTAAAATAATAATACTATTAAAATAATCATTTTATTATTGTTGTTATTTCTTTTATTTTGTTAGATATTCATTTGTATTTAACAGTAAAAATGCATTACAATTCTTTATTTTTTGATTAATGTTAAAATAATAATAATAATATAAAAATAATTGCATGTCAGTATTATATTTTATTATTATTTTTAGTATATTCGATATTCATTTTCTATTTAACAGTACAATTGCATTACAATTTTTCAATTTTGTAATTAGTAAAAATAATAATAAAAAAAATATGAAAATATTTAATTTTAGCATTATTACATTTTATTATTATAGTTTATTAAATATTCACTTTTTATTTACCAGAACAATTGCATTACAATTCTTAATTTTTATCATTAGTTACAATAAAATAATAATAAAAATATTAATAATATAATTTATTTACAAGATATTCATTTTTTTTATTTAACAGTGCTATTGCATTACAGTTAATACTTTTATAATTACTGTTAAAATGATGTGTACCAGACATGTAACGTCTATATTAAAGTCCAGGTTCAAAGTCTTTTTTTATTTTTATTTAAAATGTTTAGTTGGTTCTTTTAAAGATTAAACGCAACTAAAAGCAACTATTTATATTGGCATCAGAGTTTGTTTTCTGTCTGGATGTTTCAAAAGCAGCAATTTGAGATGTTTCTCATGCAAAGCCATTGGCTAAATATTTCACCTGGTGTTTGCTGCAGGACGAAGCGTGAGACTGAAGTGACTCAGCTGAAGAGGACTCTAGAGGAAGAGGCTAAAGTTCATGAGCAGGTGGTGGCCGAGATGAGACATAAACATGGTCAGGCCTTTGACGAGCTCAACGAGCAGCTGGAGCAGGTCAAACGGGTACGAGATGCTCTCCTTCACTCTGAAAACAGCATCAGACTTGTGATTAGCAGCTTCACTCTGAGTCTCTGCGTCTCTGTTTGTAGAATAAGGTGTCGATGGAGAAGACCAAACAGTCTCTGGAGTCGGAGAGGAACGAGCTGCAGATCGAGCTGCAGACGCTCATGCAGGGCAAAGGAGAGTCAGAGCACCGCAGGAAGAAAGCTGAGACGCTGCTGCAGGAGCTGCAGGTCAAACATGCCGAGAGCGAACGCCAGCGCACCGAATTTGCAGAGAAAGCCGCTAAGATGCAGGTGAGAGAATCAACTGATAGATAGATGCTATTGTACTGATACGCCCTAGCAACCACACAGCAACACCTTATCAACTGCTTAGCAACCACATAGCAATGCCCTAAAAACTGCCTAGTAACCCCATAGTAACACCCTAGCAACTGCATAGCAACATCGTTGATATCTCTGAAAACACCTTAGCAGCCTCATAACAACCCCCAAGCAACCACCTAGCAACACCCTTGTAATCACTCAGAAGACCCGAGCAACTGCCAAGCAACCACATAGCAACATCCTTGCAAATTCCTAACAACTAAATAGCAGTGCCCTAACAACTCTCATGTAAACACTCCAAACACCCTAGCAACTGCCAAGTAACCACATAATGACATGCCAGCAGCCACCTAGCAACACCCCTATAATCACTGCGAACACTCTAGCGACCACATAGCAACGCACTAGCACACCCTAGCTATTGCCTAGTAACCACATATCAATGCCAGAACAACCACCCAGAAACACCCTCATTATCACTCAGAACAGCCAATAAACTGTATAGTAACCACCTAGCAACTGACTAGTAACCACATAGCAATGCCCTAGTAACACCCTCGTAATCACTCAGAACTTCCAGCAACTTCCTAGTAACCACATGACAACACCCAAGCAACCACCTAGAAACACCCTCATAATCACTCAGAACAGCCCAGATACTGCCTAGTAACCACGTAGTAACACCTTAACAACTGCCTAGCAACACCGTTATAATCACCTTAAACGCCCTGGCAACCGCATAGCCAACACCCTTATAATCACTGAGAACACCCTAGCAACTGCATAGCAACACCCTTATAATCACTGAGAACACCCTAGCAACTGCATAGCAACACCCTTATAATCACTGAGAACACCCTAGCAGCCACACAGCAATGGCCTGGCAACCACTTAGAACATCCTAGCAACTGCCTAGCAGCCACATAACAACACCCAAGCAACCACCTAGAAACACACTCATAATCACTCAGAACAGCCTAGATACCGCCTAGTAACCTACCACATAGTAACACCTTAACAACTGCCTAGCAACACCGTTATAATCACCTAGCAACCGCATAGCAAAAGCTTTAGCAACTACTAAGAACACTCTAGCAACTGCCTAGCAACAACATAGTAAAAACCTAGCAACCATCTAGCAACACCCTTATAATCACTGAGAACACCCTAGCAGCTACATAGCAACACCCTAGCAACTGCCTAGTAACCACATAGTAGGGCCCTAGCAACACCTTTATAATATACCGCCTAGTAACCTACCACATAGTAACACCTTAACAACTGCCTAGCAACACCGTTATAATCACCTAGCAACCGCATAGCAAAAGCTTTAGCAACTACTAAGAACACTCTAGCAACTGCCTAGCAACAACATAGTAAAAACCTAGCAACCATCTAGCAACACCCTTATAATCACTGACAACACCCTTATAATCACTGAGAACACCCTAGCAGCTACATAGCAACACCCTAGCAACTGCCTAGTAACCACATAGTAGGGCCCTAGCAACACCTTTATAATCACTGAGTGTTTGAGTGATGGTTGAGGGTTGGCATTAGCGTGATGGCAGTTCTGTCTCTCCTCAGACTGAGCTGGATAACGTCAACACTCTGCTGAGCGACGCTGAAGGGAAGTCCATCAAAGCGACGAAGGACTGCTCATCCGTGGAGTCGCAGCTGCAGGACGTGCAGGTACGTATAGCGGGATTATGGGATGTCTGCGCACCTCGCTCGCTCTCTGAACGCTGGCCATCTCCTCACAGGAAGTGCTGCAGGAGGAGACACGGCAGAAACTAGCGCTGAATACGCGTCTGCGGCAGCTGGAGGACGAGCAGAGCAGCCTGAAGGAGCAGCTGGAGGAGGAGGAGGAGGCCAAGAGGAACCTGGAGAAACAGATGAGCACCATGCAGGCGCAGGTACGGAAGATCACGGAGAAAAATTTACAAAAACTCTACAATACTTAATCGAAACATTGTGCGGTGAATAAGAGATGTACCGATGTTCGATTTGTTGTTCATTCGTCGTTTCGGTGAATTTGTTTAGTGAACTTGTTTACAAAATGATTAATTCGCGAATCTTTAGTAAGTACAAATGACAAGATGGGAAATACACCAAGAAAGAGTCAAAACCCTGAAACTAGCAGCATTTATTCAGTAGATTTATTTGTTTATTTATTTTATGAAAATTGGGAATTCACAAAAACAAACGGGGGAAAAAAAGGCTAAATTTTTCAATATTTTTTATTATTGAATTTAAACTTAGAGCTAATTGCCAATAATTGCCATTTATATTATTATTGTAAGAATTTTTTTAACTGTTCTATATTATAATTTCTAATAATAATTAATAAAGATAATTTTATTGTTGTTATTTTTGTTTCTTATGCGACTTAATTTATTTTATAGTTTAATTTCTACTATGAGTTTGTTGCATTAGATAATTGTTCTATTAAATAGCTAATTGCTGTATTTTTTTATATTGTTGTAAGAAAAATATTGTTTAATTATTTTATATAATTTTCTTCTTTTATTGCTATTAATTTAATTAATTTTCTTATTGCTTGGTTTCTTGTGTTACTTATTTCTTATAGTTACTTGTTAATTTCTTTATTTTTATATTTATTTTAATTTCTACAGTTTTTTTTTGTTGAGTTTATAATAATTCAGTCATAAATATTTATGAATTATGTTGAATAATTTGGCATACTGCATACTGTTAAGTATAAAGTGCAGGCTATTATTTATTATTTTAATTTGAATAGGATCCAGTGCGTAATGCTGAAGATTTCAAGCAGTACTATGCCAAATCATATTGCATGTTTAGTGAGTGGCATCCAGTTATCATTTCAGAAAAAAGCCATTTAAGACAAAGCAGTGTTTTAATGCAGCTTTGTGTAAAAATACCTCAGTTCAGCCAAATGAGTTCAATAAATAGGCTTAATTTGCGTTTAAATCCAAATTAAGTGTAAACGCTGCGCACACTGAAAATGAAACGAGTAGCTCTTCTGTGTGTGATAAACGTCTGTTTGTTCTGCTGCAGCTGGCTGACATGAAGAAGAAGATTGAGCAGGAGGCCAGTTTTCTGGAGAACACTGAGGAGACGAAGAAGCGCGTCCAGCGCGACCTGGAGGCCGTGACGCAGCGTATGGATGAGAGGAACACCGCCTACGACAAGCTGGACAAGACCAAGACGCGCCTGCAGCAGGAGCTGGACGATATGCTGGTGGACCAGGACCATCTGAGACAGATCGTCTCCAACCTGGAGAAGAAGCAGAAGAAGTTCGACCAGGTGAGAGCTGAAGCCCTGCGATCGGGATGGGTTTGATTATTAGAGCAGTGACTGAAAGTAATTAAAAAAAAAAGGCCAAACAGTCGTCAAAATAAGCTAAAACAGCTACATTTTCTCATTTCTAATTCATTTTTTGGACCTGGATAATATAATGAAGCCTCATAGTGTGATTTCTAGACACGGAGAGCTTTAGTTCTACAATATTTTGGGTAGAAATTGTTTTTTAAAAAAAAGTTAAAATGTCTAATAATATAGTTTTTTTTTTTTTTTTTTTTTTTTGGAATGTATGTTTTTGTAGTTATGCTGAGCTTTTAAAAAAAAATGTGGTTTTAGTTTTTCATTTAAAACATTGCATTTCTATTTATTTTATTTTGTCATTTTAGTTTTAGTGATGGCATTTTAAACACATTTGATCAGGTGTTGTGACAAACTATTTGAATAGTATTTGAATATAATAGTTTTTCTTGTTTTGTGAGCTTTTTAAAAGTTGGTGTTTTTGGATTTAAAAACATTTGTTTATTTGTTTGTCATTTTAGTTTTAAGGATGTCATTTATATATTTTATTAGGCATTTATCAGGTTTTAGGAGTAATTATATATATATATATATATATATATTTAAAAATTAAATCTTAAAATGATGTGGACATTAAGCTTTTTAATTTAAATAATTTTATTGTCTTTTTATTTTGTTCATTTATTTTTAAATTTGAGCAATTTCAATTATATTTGATCAGGTTTTGTGAGTAAAATCTATTTTGTAAAAATCCATTAAAAAAACTTTATATACATTTTTAGAATTACACATTTTAAAAATGTTTAAAACTCTGTTTTTTGTTGTTTATAATTTAAAATGTTTTTGTTGTTCATCATTTAAAATACTTCTATTCTTATATTAATATATTACATTTACATTTAGTCATTTAGCAGACGCTTTTATCCAAAGCGACTTACAAAGGAGGACAACAGAAGCAGTGAAAACCAACAAAAGAGCAATAAAATGTTATGACAAAACTCGGTTAGCCTAACGCAGTACACTTAGCAATTTAAAAAAATTAATTAAAAAAAATATATATATATAGTAGATAGAATAGAAAAAGAATATAGAAGGCTACTGTTAGAGTTTTTTTTTTTTTTAAGAAAAACAAGCAGTTAGAAAACTAATAGAGAGTGCAAGTGTTAGGGTCAAGTCAATAAATAAATAAAATAGAATTAGAATAGAGTGCTAGAGTTAGAGGGTCAAATAAGGATGGAAGAGATGTGTTTTTAGTCGTTTCTTGAAGATGGTTAAGGACTCAGCTGCTCGGATTGATTTGGGCAGGTCATTCCACCAGGAGGGAACAGTTAGTGAAAAAGTCTGTGAAAGTCATTTTGTGCCTCTTTTAGATGGCACAATAATACGCCGTTCACTAGCAGAACGCAAGCTTCTAGAGGGCACATAACTCTGAAGTAATGAATTTATGTAAAGGGGTGCAGAGCCAGTGGTGGTTTTGTAGGCAAACATTAATGCCTTGAATTTTATGCGAGCAGCTACTGGTAGCCAGTGCAAAACAATAATAATATTTAATATGTAAGTATATTTAGTTTTAGAAATTAATTTTGTGGTTTACATAAACCACGACAAATAAATCATCTGTAGCTACTGTAAGCAGTTTTGCACATTTCTGCACACAACCGTCAGTCTGACTAATATCTGAATATAGGTATAACGTTTTGCTGCTGTTTTTCAGATGCTGGCTGAGGAGAAGTCCGTCTCTGGCCGTTACGCCGAGGAGCGCGACCGCGCAGAGGCCGAGGCCCGTGAGAAAGAGACACGTGTGTTAGCGCTGGCCCGCGAGCTGGAGACCCTCAGCGACGTGAAGGACGAGCTGGACCGGACCAACAAACTGCTGCGCGCCGAGATGGAGGACCTGGTGTCCTCTAAAGACGACGTGGGCAAGAGCGTAAGAGGCTTTCCTGTCGTCAGAGATCCTCAGATCATCGGTCGGTCGGTGGAGACCTGACGGTGTTTCTGGTTCTCTCTCAGGTTCACGATCTGGAGAAGTCGAAGCGCTCGATGGAGCAGCAGCTGGAGGAGATGAAGACGCAGCTGGAGGAGCTGGAGGACGAGCTGCAGGCCACTGAAGACGCCAAACTGCGGCTGGAGGTCAACATGCAGGCCATGAAAGCGCAGTACGAGAGAGACCTGCAGGGACGAGACGAGCTGGGAGAGGAGAAGAAGAGACAGCTGCTCAAACAGGTGCCAACTCGCCACATGACCAGGGTTGCCAGGTTTTCACAACAAAACCCACCCAGTTGCTTCTCAAAACTAGCCCAATCATGTTTCGAGGGGGGTCCCCCCGTTAAAAATGGCATTCCAGGGTGTAAAATATGTTGGTTTTTTTTGTCAGGTTTCCCCTGGTAAATTCGCATTAAAGGGGCTAAATATGAGGTTATTGGGGTCGCTTCAACCCGCTGACATCAAAAACAACCCACGGCAACAGTGTTAAAGTAGCCTAATTCACTGCGCATGACATGATGCAGCCAAATGCGTTTCATAATTGGTTAATATTATTTCCTCAATTAATAGAATTAAATAAAATACATATAAATATATATAGCAAGCTTTTATATCTAATAAGATTTTAGGTCTAATTAATTGAGGAAATAACTAACTAATCAATAATAATATGAAAACAATTCTATTTGTTTTTTTAAAAATTGACATTTTCAGTATACATTCTAAGTTTTTGCTTATTTTTTTTTACTTAAAAAATATTTTATATTTTTAGATATATGTATATTTATGTATATATGTGAATATATACATATACACACAAATACATAATATATATGTATATATATATATATATATATATATATACATACACAATTAATCAAGGAAATAAACGACCAATTGATCGGTTATCTTAAAGCTATTTTTATTTATTTCATAGTTTTTTTTATTTATTTTAAAGCATTTAAAAAATGTATCAGGTATTGTGTGTATAAAAAAAAAAAAATTTAATCCTTAAATCTTAAAATTGCATGGGCATTTTTTATTTTTATTTTTTTCATTTTAATCCGATATTGTGAGTAAAAACTATTTTAAAAATCCTTAAATTAATATTCATTTTCAAATATACTTTTCTCTAGTTTTACCAAGTTTTTTTAAAATAAATTATTGTGAGTTTTTGCTGTTATTTTGTCTTTAAATAATATTATCCGATCAATCAAAGAAATAAACAACCAAGTAATTATTTTATATATACTGTATGTGTGTGTATATGTGTGTGTGTATATATATATATAATTTTTAGTTTTTTAGTTTTTTGCAAAAACATATACTTTTATTATATTATATCTATTTATTCAATAACCAAGTTTAATAGTTTAATCAGGCTTGATTAATCTGTAATGGAGTTGATTGTTGATTGTGTTCAGTATGGTTTAGTTCTGTCGTGTGTTTGCGGTCAGGTGCGTGAGATGGAGATGGAGCTGGAGGATGAGCGTAAACAGCGCACAGTGGCGATGGCGGCGCGGAAGAAGATGGAGCTGGACCTGAAGGAGCTGGAGGCCGCCATCGACCAGGCCAACAAGAACCGCGACGAGGCGCTCAAACAGCTCAAGAAAGCACAGGTTCGTCTCTTACACCGCAAGCTTGTTGAACGAGGTGAACGTATTTTCTGCAGTAATGGATGTTATGTTAAAGCATCACTTAAAACAAGCTTTACAAAGCGTCTCCTGTTAGCAGCATAACGATCACAGCCGCGTTTGTGTTTCAGGCTCAGATGAAGGACCTGCTGCGGGAGCTGGAGGACACGCGTCTGTCCCGCGAGGAGATCCTGGCTCAGAGCAAAGAGAACGAGAAGAAGGTGAAGAGCATGGAGGCCGAGATGATCCAGCTGCAGGAGGTCAGTGTGTGTGTGTCTGTCCTCACAGTCCTGAATCTGCTGTGGTTCACATGAGCGTCTGACCCGAGTCTGAATGCGTCTGAATGCAGGAACTGGCGGCCGCAGAGCGAGCGAAGAGACAAGCACAGCAGGAGAGAGACGAGCTGCAGGACGAGATCAACAACCAGGTCGCGAAGGGGTGAGGAAACATCACTTCATTCACAGATCTCTAGGTTAATGGAAGAAATGAACAATACTATTAAAATACTGCAAAAAAATCTTCTATTGTTATAACTACTTTTATGGAAATTTTTATCCAACCAAAAACATTTTGGTTTTAAGTATGTATAAGTATTAGGTGAATTTGTTCTGACACAGTTTAACTCTGAGTTCTTGTCATATTTTATTACCATTTTCTAAACTATAGAGAATAAACTGTGATAATGTGAGAAATGTTAAAGGTTTCTGAATAAATTCTGGCTTGACTGTATCTATTTGATAAATGAAGTTAAGCAACTAACATTATACATACTCTTTTGGTTTCTGTACCCAATATTTAAAAAATTTACAAATGCAATGAAAATATTGGTATCGGTATCGGCAAGTACCAAAAATAAAAGTATCGGTATCGGGCGAGTACTGGAAAAAGTGGTATCGGTGCATCCCTAATAAGTGTATATACTGTATATTTATATATACGTTATAAGTGTGTGTGTGTGTGTGTGTGTGTATATATATAAAAATAAGTATATATATAAATGTAATTCAGAAATTCCTGGGAAAGAAAAATCAAATAAAGAAAATAGTTTTCCAGTTTTCTGAAGGTTATTGCTTTTTCTATATGATTTCTCTGAAAGGTATATAAATTATAATAAAATGGATTTGTAAAAGATTAAAATGCTATTGTAATTTATTATTTTCCTTGCTATTTTATTTTATGAACCATTTAAATCTAAGAGAAAGGTACTAGAACTACTGAAAATGATAGAACTACTGGAAAATAATAATAATAATTTTCTTCGAGTATTTTTAGAAGATTATTGATTTTTCTTTATGATTTCCCTATCGGGTATAGAAATTATGAAATATAAATTATAAAAATGAAATATAAATTATAATGAAACTGAATTATAAATACATTAAAAACACTTTTTGTTGTTTGTTATTATTTTGTTATTCACATTCAATTTGAATATTTTATTAAACGTTTTTAATCCAAACAATAAACTAAAAATACTACAAAGAAATCTTCCATTGTTATGAGAAATATAAATTTTTTTATATTAAATTTTTCTAACTGATATGTAAATTAGAATGAGATGCGTTTATGGAGAAAAAAAAACTAATTGAAAACCTTTTATTTGCCCTTCTATTTTATTCATTTATGGATTTGTGGTTTTATTATTATTATTATTATTATTTTGTTTGTTTGTTTTTTTAGGAAATATGATTCACAACTGCTTGAAGAATTAAATATTCTTACAGTGTTTTGAAAAATTGATTCTTTTTAGTTAATTTTTGATTGTAACAATTCTAAAATAATAAAATGAATGCATAAAATAAATGTATTAAAAATAAATTAAACACTTTAAATAGTTTTCACAAATGTTAAATATTATGTTATATCTGATCTTGTATTAAAAGTTTTAACAACAAAAAATAATTAAGAAATAAAACACATTTAATTAAAAATAAATAAATACATGAGGCACAATTTTGCATAAACGCAACTAAAAAACAGCAGTTAAAATAGACAAGATTTCTACTGGCTGATATAATCTGGTATAATGGCCCATAATCCATTGCATTTGTGTGCTCAGCGCTCTGGGCTCAGAGGAGAGGAGGCGTCTGGAGGCACGGATCGCTAAGCTGGAGGAGGAGCTAGAGGAGGAGCAGAACAACACGGAGCTGGTGAACGACCGGCTCAAGAGAGCCCTGCTGCAGGTGCGTCATGCTCAGACCGTCCCGCCGCTGGCGTCTGACGCCCACAGCACGCTCACCGCTGTCTCTCTGTCCGGTTTCTCCACAGACAGACCAGATAAACGTGGAGCTGACGGCGGAGCGCAGCACCTCCCAGCGGCTGGAGGGAGCGCGCTCGCAGATGGAGCGCCAGAACAAGGAGCTGAAGCTCAAACTCACCGAGCTGGAGGGAACCGTCAAGAGCAAATACAAGGCCAGCATCGCCGCCCTGGAGGCCAAGATCATCCAGCTGGAGGAGCAGCTTGACGTCGAGACCAAGTACTGCAACACACAAGCACACAGACATAGAGGCTTATATAGATATGTTTAGACGGTTTACCGTGCATTTTGTTATTCGAAAATATACAAATAAATAATAAATAACTCAAATGAAATGTACTTTTAAGTCAAATAAAGTTCAAATAAAATTTAAGAAATAAAACACATTTAATTAAAAATAAATAAATACATGAGGCACAATTTTGCATAAACGCAACTAAAAAACAGCAGTTAAAATAGACAAGATTTCTACTGGCTGATATAATCTGGTATAATGGCCCATAATCCATTGCATTTGTGTGCTCAGCGCTCTGGGCTCAGAGGAGAGGAGGCGTCTGGAGGCACGGATCGCTAAGCTGGAGGAGGAGCTAGAGGAGGAGCAGAACAACACGGAGCTGGTGAACGACCGGCTCAAGAGAGCCCTGCTGCAGGTGCGTCATGCTCAGACCGTCCCGCCGCTGGCGTCTGACGCCCACAGCACGCTCACCGCTGTCTCTCTGTCCGGTTTCTCCACAGACAGACCAGATAAACGTGGAGCTGACGGCGGAGCGCAGCACCTCCCAGCGGCTGGAGGGAGCGCGCTCGCAGATGGAGCGCCAGAACAAGGAGCTGAAGCTCAAACTCACCGAGCTGGAGGGAACCGTCAAGAGCAAATACAAGGCCAGCATCGCCGCCCTGGAGGCCAAGATCATCCAGCTGGAGGAGCAGCTTGACGTCGAGACCAAGTACTGCAACACACAAGCACACAGACATAGAGGCTTATATAGATATGTTTAGACGGTTTACCGTGCATTTTGTTATTCGAAAATATACAAATAAATAATGAAATAACTCAAATGAAATGTACTTTTAAGTCAAATAAAGTTCAAATACAAAATGTATATAATTAATAGTTCATCTGTTTTTTTATTCTATTTATCACAATACAGATACAAATCAGGCTCAACAAAAAATACATACATTTCCTTTTTTGACATTGAAAAATAGTCATGTTTGGACATTTATAGACTACTTAATATAAAATGTGTTATTTGTTATTCAGAAAATATACAAATAAATATTACATTTACTTAAATTTCAGATTAAAGGCACATAACATACATTTTGGTCTGACAATAAAAATCTATAATATTAATAAATCATGCTGTTGTTTACTTTTAAGTCAACAAATATAAGTTGTATACAATTAATGTTTAATCTGTTTTTTTATTAATCAAGATACAGATACAAATCAGCAACAACAAACACAAATACATACACAAATATTTACATAGAAATTTAGACATTTTAATTAACAATTAATCTATTTTTTTTTATTAATCACAATACAGATACACAAATACATACATGCGCATTTATCTACAGTGAAACACATTTAGACATTTTAGACTATTTACCATACAAGATATGTATTTTGTTATTTTAAATAAATAAATAAATGTATACATTGACTAATTGTATTTTAACTAAATGAAAATGTACTTAATGGAATTTCAGATTACAGGCACATCATTAACCTACTAACTTATGAAATTAATAATTCAGCTATTTTTATTAATCACAATAGAGACAAATACATTTATTTACGTAGAAATGTATACAAATATTTCGATATTTTAGACCATTTACACTACAAGATAGGTATTTTATTATTTGTAAAATATACAAATATATAAAAATCAAATTAATAAACTAAATTTTAAAATAACTCAATAACTGAAATTTACATTGACAATTAAAATACAAACTTTTTTTTTATCAGTTACCTACTAACTTGTACATTTAGGTCTAAAAATTTAAATATAGTATACAATTAATCTGGTTTTTATTAATACATAGACAGAAATGTGCGGTTTTAGACTACTTACCATACAAGATATGTTTTACAATTCAGAAAATGTACAATAAATGTAAGTACATCAGAAAATAACTCGATAAAAAAAGTGGAAATATAATTAAATTAGAAAATAACAAATTTACTACAATTTTCAGATTAATCGCCCATCAACGTTTAGGTCTACAAATAAGAATGTACACAATAATTCATCTATTTATAACAGTAGGGAAATGCTCAAAGTAATGAATGATGTTTGTGTTCAGAGAGCGACAGCAGGCCTCAAAACTGGTGCGTCGTACGGAGAAGAAGCTGAAGGAGGTGATTCTGCAGGTGGACGACGAGAGACGCAACACGGAGCAGTTTAAAGATCAGGTGATGCTCGCTACAAACCCTGTGTCAGTCACACCGCTCGAGGTTAAAGTTTAGCGCTGTTAACGCTTGTTTGTGATCGGCTGCAGTCTGATAAGCTGAACAGCCGCATGAAGCAGCTGAAGCGGCAGCTGGAGGAGGCCGAGGAGGAGGCGCAGAGAGCAAATGCCAACCGCAGGAAACTACAGCGGGAGCTGGAGGACGCCTCTGAGTCCGCCGACGCCATGAACCGCGAGGTCAACAGCCTGAAGAGCAAACTCAGGTGCGTCACGCACGCTGCACGATAACAGTTCAACTGATAATCGCAATATTAGAATTGAGATTATTTATTATTTATTTTTACATTTCGTCAGAATTATCCCACATTCACATCAGTGTTATTAAAGTTGATTAAAATAACTAAAACCATTTAAAAAATTTATTTTCATTACTTGGGGAAAAAAAATTCAGCTAGATGCTAAGGTAACATTTCTTATTTTCGTTTAATTTGACTAAGTACTAAAATATCTAAATAGTAAATTGGAATGAATAAAAACTATATAGACATTAAAATGATATACATTTCTCATTTTCATTTAGTTAAACTTTTAAGTACTAAAATAACATTTAAAAAAAATCTTTCATTTTATTTAAAGTATTAAAGGGGTGCTATTATGCTTTTTCAACTTTAGTTAGTCTGTAATGTTGCTGTTTGAGCATAAAACAGATCTGCAAAGTTACAAAGCTCAAAGTCCACTTCAGAAGGAGATATTTTATTTAACAGAAATCACTTTTCAAAAACTACAACGAACGACTCGTTTGGACTACAATGCATATTTTCCTGGATTTGTGATATCACAAATATCGACGAATGGGACGAGACCTGGTTGAGCTGCACTAGAGAAGGCTACGAGTGTTATCACTATATCGGAGACACGCTAGCTTTCCCAAGGCAGACAAACTTAGTTTTTATCGGGTTTAAATCGCGCTCAAATTGATTTGATATTGAGCAATATTTACACTGAAGCTCGCAGGCGGCTATGGCAAGGGGCATGACATTTCCAGACCAGGCACCAAGTTCTGCCAATCACAACACACACTGACCCAGCTAACCAATCACAGCACACACTGGCCCAGCTAACCAATCACGGCCCAGCTCACCAATCACGGCACACACTGGCCCAGCTCACCAATCACGGCACACACTGGCCCAGCTCACCAATCACGGCACACACTGGCCCAGCTCACCAATCACGGCACACACTGGCCCAGCTCACCAATCACGGCACACACTGGCCCAGCTCACCAATCACGGCACACACTGGCCCAGCTCACCAATCACGGCACACACTGGCCCAGCTCACCAATCACGGCACACACTGGCCCAGCTCACCAATCACGGCACACACTGGCCCAGCTCACCAATCACGGCACACACTGGCCCAGCTCACCAATCACGGCACACACTGGCCCAGCTCACCAATCACGGCACACACTGGCCCAGCTCACCAATCACGGCACACACTGGCCCAGCTCACCAATCACGGCACACACTGGCCCAGCTCACCAATCACGGCACACACTGGCCCAGCTCACCAATCACGGCACACACTGGCCCAGCTCACCAATCACGGCACACACTGGCCCAGCTCACCAATCACGGCACACACTGGCCCAGCTCACCAATCACGGCACACACTGGCCCAGCTAACCAATCACAGCACACACTGGCCCAGCTCACCAATCACAGCACATTTGGTATTTCAGAAGGCGGGTCTTCATTTGATACAGGAACTATTCGAGCCGTTCATGCCAGACTGGGGAGAGAGGTGTTGTAATAATGTCAAATATGTGAAAAATAATGTGTTTTCCGACAACATAGTATGAGAGCCTGTTCTAGTACACCCCCAAAACAAAATCAAGACTTTGTAAAAGAGCATAATAGGACCCCTTTAAAATAACTATAACAATAAAAAAAAAAATGTGTTATTTGAAATAAAATAAATGTTAACAAAAATAAAATGCGTTATAGCTAAAATTTAGATCGATGCCAGATCATATTTATTTTTTTTGTTTTGTTTAAGTTGAAGTACTAAAATAAACTAAAACTGAAATAAAAATGATTAAAAATATATAAAAATGCATATTAAAGATTATAGACATTTGAATAATGAATTACATTTTGAAGTTCAATTACTAAAAATGCTACAACTAAAACTGAAATTTATTTTAAGAAATTAATTTAAAAAATATATATATTTTTTAGTTTAATTTGAAGTACTAAACTACAACTAATATAAATAACAAAGACAGCATTTCACTAAAATTAAATTGAAAATGGAAAGATTAAAAATAAGGACTAATTTATAACATATTAAATCATACACACGGTTTATTTTGCCTCGCATAGTTTCTTGATCATATGTATCATGCAAATGCATATATTCTCTACAAAATGAAAACAATACAAACAAGAATTTTTCAAAAGCTAAAATGGTGAAATTCCTAATATTAAGTCCAATGATTACAAATTGTTAATATATTAATTTATTTTTCTATAGTTCTATGCTATTATTCAGTTTTTCTATAATTCTGATTAATCAAGGGAAGCAGAAATCTCAATTAAAGTATGTTGTCTTAATGAGGCTTGCATGTGCTCAAATGCGTGTCTGACATTGAAATGTGCATCTTTTGTGTCCAGACGTGGCGATCTGCCCTTCACCTTGCGCCGCATCGTCAGCCGCTCGGGAATCGAGAGCGACGAAGACCCGGAGGCCAAGACCGAAACCTCCGAACCCAAACCCGAGTGAAAGAAGCCGAACCGCAGCGTTCTGTCACAAACACACACACACACACACACACACACACAAAAGTCTTGGACGACAACGTCCACGGAAACTCAGAGATACTTCGTCGATTTGTTTTTTTGTTCTTATTTTAGTGCCATAGTGTATTCGCACACACACGATGGTTCTCCTGACAATCACACACACGACAGCTTCACTCACACCGAGGACCAAATTTGTGTTTTCATGTTGTTGTCTAGAATAGAAAAAGAACGGAATGATATTTTTGTAAGGACGCATTCCGTCAATTGTAGTCCCGATTCTGGATCTATTTTTCTAACTGAAGTAAAAGGATTAAAAAAATGGTAAAGAAGAGAACTTATTGAAGGGGACCAAAGCAAAATTGCTTTCTGCAAAACTGTATTTTATTCATACTTTTTATAATGGTATAAGGATGAACATAGCGCTCGCTCTCTTGCACCTCTGCTGGTAAATAAAAGATTGTGATGATAATTACAGATACTATCGTACAGTTACGCTTTTGGGCTTTACACATGAATTAAGGCATTTAGTAAATCAAACCAGCACCGAAAATATTAGAGATTTTCACGCCACCGTATATGCACATGAAATGAGGAAAGACCGTTTGTTTTGAGCAATAAAATGGAGGTGTTTATGGCACTGTTGCAGCAGATTGAAGGAATAAGGATTGAGTAGGCAACGCACGAACTCATTTAGACATGGCACTATGCACTATCGCCTTAAATCTACTATTTGGATACGTCCTGTTCCGCTTTTCCTTTCAGTATATGTGTCTTTATTAATGTTCAGGGCATGAATGGTGGAGGGTTGACGGTTTCTCTCACGCACGCACTGTTAACGCTGAGCACGGCTGCGCAGGAGCGGGAAGCGACCGTTTGGCGGGAGTTTTAAAACATGGAACACTTCCATGGCTACCTCTGATCACGTTTATCACTCTGTGACATATTTCTGAAAGAACTAATGAGAATGGGTTTGAACGGGACGTCGGCGATGGCGATCTCCCTCCTCGAAGCTCGTGCTCAGTTTCTGCTTTTTTCGCTCACACTGCTGGGAAGTGAGAGAAATGTACTATTATTGATTATGTATGGATAGATAGAGCATTTCTCTCTCTTATTCTCATCGTCTCCCAATAATGACTTTGTGATGTTGTGTTATGTTCTCTGTCTCTGCAACTTCTTCATTATATCTGGAGAGATTTGTCATAAATCGTTGGTATAATGATGCAATAAAATGGCTTTTTCAAAACACTTTTAGCACGTGTATGATTTTTTTTCTTTCTTTCCTGGTTTTCTAACATTAGTTACAGTTAAAAACAAAAGTAGCAATTTGGCCTGGGCTGAAAATGACCCCACTGCTTTCAACTATTTACCAAAGATTTTAGTCCTATAAAATAATTCGTTTTTTTAACATTAAAGAAGTAAAAGCCATCACCCAATGTTCGATTATAAGAGGAAACTAACTTTAATAACCGTGGTTCCTTAGCATCTCCTTCACCGAACGTCTTTCCCAAATATTTATTGATAATCTTCTGAAAATCCCAATTTTCTCTTTCATTATTTAGTCAGTCAGAAGAAATCCCACGCGTCACTGTGTTCTAGGCCGATTAAAACATTTTTTCAAAATATGTGACTCATTTTTAATGTGGAACATAATGTTAAAAAGTAAGCCGTTTAATTTATTTATATTCACCGTCATTGAGCGATTTTAATAATCACTGATGAAAACGCTTTCTTTTTTGAGTTGTGTGAAAACTTAGGAGACGCGCTCTACATGTAGAGTAGATAGGTTCTACTATGAATATTAATGAAACTGTAGCCTACAATCTGTTTTGGCAGTTACTGAGCTCTACCACGAGAGTGTGCACACTGACCACCTCAGTGCAGAGCAGAAGGGGCCCAAACTGGTTCTGAGCGGATTTATCTGCTTTACACTGGAGCTAATCTATACCCTTTCAATCTGTAAAGAGATTTGTTTTTACTAGTTTATTTTATTAAGTGACAGATGAGTTTTGTTGCATGTCATCATTCTCCATTCTTATTCTCAGAAAATACTTAATGCATTCTAAATAATCTGTCTGACATACAGGTGCATCTCAATAAATTAGAATGTCATGGAAAAGT